GAAGAATATAAAAACATAATACAACATCAAACATTAAAAACTTCCCGATATAGGGCTGCCTTCAGATGCCTTCTAAAAGTTGTGTTGTTCTTTATCTCCTTGACATCTGATGGGAGGGCGTTCCACAGGGAGCATGTTACCACCGAGAAGTAATTATATTACAGTTTAATTATCTTTAAACTATTTTCTCTTCTACGTTATAAATATAACAACATTGTAATTTGATACAGTCTTACACATCCTCCAAACTACTCACAACCTGCTCTATCATGGAAAAACTTCCAATATGAGCTTGGCAGGTGTTTGATAAGCCATTATCTGCGCTTACACTGGTGCATTTTCAACAGTCTTCAAGCAAGAAAGAATTTTAAAAAAAAACTATATTATTTCAACAAATTCCTGTGCCCTAATGATTTAAGAACTGTCATTAAATCAGGGAAGAAATAACTCATGGGGAAAGAGGTAAGAGAATGTTGTGGTTTCAACTTAGATGGTTCCTCTTGAAATAAGGTCAAATGTTACCATCATTTTCTTTTACTAGGGTTATTGCCTTCACAAACAATTGAAGAAAAGCTGTGTAATTTTCTCCAAGGGATGCTAAGGTTGGCCAGAAACCTGACCTACCTTACAAGAATATCATTAATCTTTCCATTATGTTTTGTTAACAATGCCAGCGGTTTTCATAATGATAAAATGTGGTCTGCAATGATGATGTGATTTAAAACCACTACCACAACTTTCCCCCTGTATTATTATTATTTTTAAGAGCCCTAAAAGATAGAAAAGGAAGCTTCATTCTGACTATTCATTAAGACTTTTAAAACCCTCCTTTTTTAAAAAAGAAAAGATGTGCCTAAATTACATTAGGCTGAATGACTTTTATAATACTGTAACAATTCCACAAGCACCATTTCTACTTTTGTGTTACCTTAAATGGTAGCAATAAAATAATGTTCCCCTAAGACACCTTGCTAATTTAAGAAGTACTTTGGGCATGCATTTAAATGACGATACATTCAAAAGTTATATTCAAGTAATTCAAACAACGCAGCAGTTCGTTAAGGTAATGGGTTAGATCAACATTTTGCCCAACTCCATCTGTTTTTGGACTACAATTCCTATCATCCTTGACCACTAGGTCCTGCTAGCTAGGGATGATGGGAGTTGTAGTCCAAAAACATCTGGAGACCAAAGTTTGGGAAACGCTGGATTAGATGATCTTATCTATTTGCCACTTCCCCATTAGGCAATTCTATCTCTGCAAAATCATTATAAGTCAAGGTTTTGCCTGACAAGCCCCAATCTATATGCAAAAAATAATCTTTTTTATGATACCTCATAAAAAGTACCAATGTGATAAATAAGTAAATACAATTCAAGGGTTCCTGACTCTTGGCCATCTCTACAACATGGCAGAGAAGGGTTTGGCAAAAGAGGTCTTTTTTTTTTAATGTTCCCCAACTTAAATTTTCCTTTGTGTGTAACAAACTGGACACGTTAGGGAAGTGGCTGTGCTACACATGTTCTCTGTTGCTACATGCAACAGTTTATGTGGGAAGATCTGTAGTCTGAATTTGTAAAATCCAGGATTCTACTACCGAAGTCTCCAAAAACTATCGTATGGTTTTAGGTTCAATTCACGCTCACAGCCTCTAATTTTTAAAACTATTGTGAGGCCTGACATAAACAGTCTGGGATTTACCATGTCAATGCTGTATTGACTTTGCCCTCAAACTAAACAAACAAACCCAACTCAAAAGTGCTCATCCTACTTCCAAGCGGACAACAGAGCAATCTCTCTTTGCTTCAGCTTCACGAACTCTATAGATTCATAGTTATTGAAAACCATCTCATCAAATGTTAAGGAACATGACATATTTGCTCACATCATTAGTCTCAAAGAAAAGAATGAGAAGTCTGCAGTTTAAGTAAAAGGCAGCTGTTCACTTTTGGCTTATATGGAACATTTTCTGGAACTCGGTGTCTTAGAAACTGTTGCTGGCTTGTATTCTTTTTTTCTTTTCTTTTCTTTTAAGTAATTTTGTCCTTCTCTCCACTCTTGAGCCTTAAAAGACTGTTCCCAATAGGAAAGCAATATATTCCAAATGAATCATCAACACAAAAGAAGCAAAAAATTAAGAAAAACATGTTAGCTACAACTTGTGCAGAAGTTCTCATTTTAAATTAGCAGATGGGGCAGGGAGAATGATAAAGAGATAATAAGGGGACAGAATTGTTCCAAGCAAATTTGGGTCCAAATTATTCAAAGAAGCTACAGTGAATTTTTTTAATTTTTATTTTTTTTAAACCATGCTTATGAGATCGTGTATGGATTCATACTTTGGGCTTTCTTGGATATGGTTGCTACTACTGCATGGCCCAAGAACATGTCCCTAGGGTGTGATTCTGGCACCACTGAAGTGAATGGCAAGTCTCCCACTGGCTTCAGAAGAGCCAAGGCTTCTTCCCTGGTGATTGCTGGAGTGTTTGTATGAGATCTAAAATGCAGCCACGATGAGACCAATGCAGAGCACACATTTGAGATCAAACCAACCTGAGTTTATGCATTTGGTCACAATGCCTATTTTAAAGCCTGACAGTTTCACAGAGCTTGCAGTTTGTGGAATTTTCATGAAATAATCTCAGAGTTAGCCCAGCAGGTGTTTAATACCATATACATACAGTGGTGCCTCGCAAGACGAAATTAATTCGTTCCGCGAGTTTTTTCGTCTTGCAATTTTTTTCGTCTTGCGAAGCACGGTTTTGGAAAAGTTTTGGAAAAGCTTCAAAAATCACCAAAGTCTTCAAAAACCTCAAAAAAGGCTACCACACCGCGTTCTATGATTTGCTCCTCGAAGTCAAGTCGCAACTGTATTAACGGTGTTAAGAAAAAGGAAACAAACTTGCAAGACGTTTCCGTCTTGCGAAGCAAGCCCATAGGGAAAATCGTCTTGCGAAGCAACTCAAAAAACCCTTTCGTCTTGCGAGTTTTTTGTCTTGCAAGGCATTCGTCTTGCGAGGTACGACTGTATATACAGGGCAATCTTTGTTTTGCACGGGGGTTCCAACCTCCACGAGCGTCCACAGAGCACACGTAAGCCCAGACCAGCCCCTTTTCGTGACATTCTGGGGCTATTTCCCACAGGTTCAGCGCTGTGCATGTGTGTGCGGCTGTGTGCCATTCAGATGCTCCTAAACTGGGAATTGCCTGTATATTAAATAGTGTTGCAATGATGCTTGGAATATCTACACACAGATGACTCCGTTTGGCACAACTTGCAGATGGGCTTTCATGCCTTCTTAGCTAGCCAAAATGGAAGGGTCCATGGAAGAAAGTGTCAAATTATCCAGTAATCAGAAGAGATCAGACGCACACCAGTTAGAATGCAATTCTGTTACAAAGCGCGACTGAAAGTTTTTCATGAATTGGAGGGGTTTTTTTGTATATAGGGAACCCATAAAAACACAAGGGTATTTCCCCCCTCCATCATACCCTTTCTATACCTATAATTAGATATTACACAAACACACACACACACCACAATATACATGAACTCGGCACTCCTTCCTCCATATGCAAGCAGACTAGCATCCTCACAACTCGACACACGCAGCTTGACACATCTCATCTGCAAGTCCTCCTTCATATTCAGCCCTGTTCAGCCCTTTAACTTACAAAATCTCATTTGTTCACTTTATCAGTACCACCATACATAAGCATATTCATGGTATAATCTAAAGCAATGTAATTGTCCAAGAATGCTACATAGATTCTTATAATGGCAGTTCTAATTTAGTTAGAAGTACACAAAACTTTGCTTTCCAAATACCTGGCTTGCTCAGTCTTTATTTTAGGCACCACAGTGCAGCCCCCTGAGCAACTTTCTTCATGCAGTTGTGTTAATGTTGCTCATATCCAATCATTGCTATTGAAATACAAATCATAGATATCAGCTATAGAACAGCTTCCCTCAGAGACTCACTGAAATCCCAGCTGGAACCTATTTCAGAAGCCCCCTAAAACCTCCTTATCTGGGCTGACTCTGAGTGAATGATGGGCTTTGGATTTTTAGCCAGGAGGAGTTTGGAATTTTAGCGTGGTGCTTTTAATTACCTTTATTTAGCCAGGTCCAACCTATTGGGATGGAACATATTAAACAGTACAATCTCTCATGCAACAAAAAATAATATTTAGAATATACTGGACCCCATTACGTTTGTTTAAAAAAGGGGCTATCTAAGGTACGGAGATGTTGGAGATGCAATAGGGATAATGCTTCTCTGTCCTATATTGAAAGATTTATGGCAGAAGGTAACTGAAACCATCAACAGAACTGTATGGAACCACCTTACATTTATAGAGCAAAATATCCTCTTGAATTATATACCCAGCACATGGAACCTTACAAAAGGACAGTATGACTGGACTCTCTGTGTCCTTACCACAGCAAAAAGACTGATACTGATGAATTGGAAAAATAAAAATGCGTCTCCCTTCTACGATTGGATTAAAGACTTATACCAACTCGCAACATATGAACAACTTGCATATAAACGCATACTTGCCATGGACAAATTAAATGGTATTTGGAATCCCTTGTTACAAATACTGTAATAGGTTAAGATCTGGTGAAGAACAACAACAACCTTGTAAAATATACAATTTTGGGTTTCCCCCCTCCCCTCTTTGTTTTTCCTTCTACATGGGTTTTGTTTCACTCTTTCTCTTTTTTCTTTGCGTCTCGCCATGTTTGGTGCACATATAGTTATGTGCTTTTTGAGCTTTCAATAAAGATGTTACAAAAAAAGAGAACCATATTAAACAGTACAATCCTATATACGTCTACTCTGAAGCCAGTCCAAATAAGTAAAATGGGACTTATTTTCCCAGCCAACTTAAGTGTATCCAGTAAATGATTCCTGCCAACAAAAAGGGTGGAAATTAAGTCACAGTCTCCCTCCCTCCAGGTTTTACAGTTTTAGCACTGAAAGGCACAAACCTGTTCTGATGTTCTTTCAATACTTGATAGATGCTAATCAGAAAGGTTTGGTTTTTAAAGCCTCCGAAAACACAATCCTTGTAGATTCGGAACTCGGCAGCGGTAACAGCTTCTCCTTCTGGAATCCGAGACAAATTAAACTTGAATTCCTTGTGGTGTCGCTGGTAAGGTGTGAACTCCTTGTCATATTCAACTGTTTAAAACAAACAAGACAATTCAATTTAACTGTGATTTCTCCACATTCCCCACTTCTCACTCTATTTTGTTTCAAAAAGTGCCCCAGAAAATGTTCAGGCTTCAAGTATTTCAAATTAAAAAGCAACTGAAATTTCACAAGACAGCCTGAATGGAATTGAAGCAAGTGAGATCTTTCATTCACCCATTCAGGGGCGTCTTACCCATAGAGGCTGGTGCCAGGGCGCCAAGTTCTGGAGGGCGCCAGGGAAGAGGCAGAGGCTGGATGCAGCACCTCCCGGCATCAGCTTGACAGCCTCGTCCGCCTCCGCCATGCCGTGCCAAAGCAGCGCCACGCCCAGAGCCTCCGTCTGCCATGGCCACCACCTGTCCCATCAAACCAGCTCTCAGGACCAAATAAGCTATATTTCTGTATATTCAATGGCTCTTTAGACCTAAATTTTCACAGCAAACCATGTGTAGCCTCTTCCAGCACCTCCAAGCAGCTTCACAATATTACAGGAAGAAAAAGAAAGAGACCAAGCTCCGAGTACATCTCATAATCCCATAAGCACTCCTCATTTTTGCCGTTGTTTTTGTGACACTTCTTATGCACAGGCTCTTCAGGATTTCCCCAGAATTATCCTAGAAAAGCCACACATGAACAGGGTGGGATGTAGTGTACTTTAAGGTGTCCACATTCAGAAATTGGAGAGAACAGGCTGGGATGGATTTGTCCATCCCTAGTTGGAAGTACTCCACTGCAGTCGCTCAAATACTTAAAACTAATCCTGCCAATCATACTTCATTGCTTATCATATCAGGCAATTATTTACCAGGGAAAGCCAAAATCTAAGGCAATGCATCTTACTGAGCTTGGCTACAACACAGCACAAGATACCTTAAACCAAGGAGGTAAACTCAATATTATTCTGGGTTTTGCTTTATGTCACCCACAATAATGCACTTATAAATTTCATGTTCTCTTCCATTTTCAAACTATTCTCTACAACAAAACACGTTTCAGAAAGCTGACACTGGCTGCAACCCCATACCAATAAACATGTGTACAGTGGTGCCTCGCAAGACGAAATTAATCCGTTCCGCGAGTCTCTTCGTCTTGCGGTTTTTTCGTCTTGCGAAGCACGGCTATTAGCGGCTTAGCAGCTTAGCAGCTATTAGCGGCTTAGCGGCTATTAACGGCTTAGCGGCTTTAAGAAAAAGGAAACAAACTCGCAAGAACTCGCAAGACGTTTCGTCTTGCGAAGCAAGCCCATAGGGAAATTCGTCTTGCGGAACGAGTCAAAAAACGGAAAACCCTTTCGTCTAGCGAGTTTTTTGTCTTGCGAGGCATTCGTCTTGCGGGGCACCACTGTACAGTGGTGCAGTTCCCTATGCACTTCTTTCTGTCTAAATACTTTGTTTTGCAAATTTTCTTCTTATTAAAAGATCCGGCTTCTTAGAAACCTTGGCAGACTTGGACAGGCAAAACCCCTTTCTGTTCATTTCCAGGACATAACCAGCTTGCACTGTTCTCATGTTACACTGCAATAAGTGACCTTATTATTGAAAGAACAGACCGTGTGTGCAAAAATGAAAAGCAGCCATGTTAAGGAGAGGGTCCTTTCTCATTGTACCTTCCAGTCTTTCCCCACCAACCTGCTGTTGCGAACCACCAACCTGCAATGTGACTTGGTTCAGGCTGGTCTGAGTGCTAGCTTATGGAAACCAGTACTAAGCTATAACCAAATGTATCTGTGTAATTTTACAAACCAATGGCATGTAGGGAAGGATAAGGCAATCAAGCAGTGTGGGGCTACGCTTTTCTCAGACATGCTTGGCCAACGTTTTCCTAATGCAGAAGAACATGACGGTGTTCAGTGGCTGCTTCTATTAATAAATATGACAAATTATTTCTCAAATTTCCATGATTTCAAAGAATACCTGACACTTGCCTCCAACTGCTGCTGCTATATATACATCTCTCTTTTCTTTGGTATGCCACCTTTCCATAGTGAACACCTTCCAGGTGTTGTTGGGCTACAACTCCCATCACCCCTGACTGGGAACTGTAGTTCAACATCTGGAGGGCGCCATATTGGCTACTCCTTATCTAGCAGCACTTTGATCAGTGGCTAATAACTTTAACATCTACACTAATAGGTGTTTCTAGCTAAGCAGACGTCCATTACAGATATAACCAGCTAAGAGCTTGTGAGTGGAGCACAGATTCACATGCTCCCTGTACCTATCAGGGTCTACTGGGAACAAGTTCTTGCCCCGCGTCTTAAGACAGGCTTATGCCACTACTTGAATTAATAACAATCAAGACTAGAATACCCATGTTGGCCTGAGCTAGAAGTGCTGGAATCCATTTTATTGTTGCCTTCTGTGACAGGGCTCCTATGTCTCTTACAGCCGTACAATAAGCTGAATACAACCACAGCTTTTAACGGTATGGAAATCCAATGCTGGTCAAAGCCACACATGTCAAATTTCCGCCGGCCAGTTGTCTTGCAAGGTGGGGGAGAGGGGAATGGCAACCCTAATTAGTTAGTACACACCAATGTATCTTTGGTAACAACAACAAAAACGGTGCAATATATAAATGTTATTTCTCTACCTGCCACTTTCCTTCTGGAAATGGTGCTAAGAATTCATTTAATGTTGCAGGTGAAAATGAATTATCAATTCAGTTGATGACAACAGATACAAATTCAGTGATTCTGCCATGTAGTTTACAATGCACAGTAACATCACTGGGAGATTCTACTCCCCGTTCCTGATGATGAGTAGAAAAGCAGGAGGTAATGATAATTCCAGATCAGCAAATCTGAGATAAATGGTTATGAACCTGAACGTTGCAGGGCAAGCTCTGACCATCTGCACAGAGGGTTTGGTTTTTTTAAAACCCAGTTTCTAAATTCTACACATACGGTTTTAAAATTAATATCCCCTGATGGTTTAGAACATACTTGGAATGCCTCTGTCCATCTGATAAAGAGATTGGATGCTGCAGTTCAGTTGCAAATAGTCTTACTCTTAAAATATGTAGCTTCCATTTCTGCATGAAAACTTGCTGTAATTTTAAACAGGAGAGTGCAAAAGTCAGGGAAACAATACACTGGGAATTAACCAACAATCCTGGGGGGGAAGCTAGTGAAAAAGATTGTTCCAGTTGGAGGGGACAGCAACTGAAATATGAATAAACAAGATCTGAAGAGTCAAAAGAGTTGGCTTAATTCTGACACAGTAGTACAGATGGATAGACCAGCTTAACAAAATATGAGACAGAGGCAAAATCAGTTGTGCACTGAGACCCCAAAACCACACCCTCGTCAGTGAATGAGATATAAGGACATGCATATTAGGTTAATGTTATTGGGCAGATTTTGGCCACAACTTTATTGGTTACAGAATGTAAGCGGTATTGGCTTAGGCTTGCACCTCTGTTTAAATGGGGCCTGGCCACACCTCCCCAGCCAGTGAATTGGCTGGCTGGGTGCCTCTGGGTGACGATGGAATCTGTCCCCCACCCCCGGAGGAGAGTTGGTGGCCACATGGTCCACCGCAACCCCTCCTCACTGTTAAGTGGAGCGGATCTCTTGCCAAGTCATGCCAGGTCTTACAGACACTGAATTCTACCCCCACCCCCATATTTCTATTCAGAACTCAGATGACTAAACTCAAAAGCTTTTGCATAGGGTATGGATTTGAATAATATCAGCATGCAAAATTAACTGGAGAATGTCAGGTTAGCTTACTGGTGCAGCTAAGCCAGGGCTGGCCCATCCATGAAGCAGAGCTTCTGGATTCCAACAAGATCATACAAGAGCCCCATGACATCGCACGAGAGTCCCGCAAGATCCCACAACATCTCACCGGAACCTGGAACCTGCAGCAGCAAAACCCCAGCAAGCGGGGGTTCAGTGGGGCTTGCAATGGGGGGAGAGTGGAGGGCGGTGGATAGTGCAGGGCAGCACTTTTTGTCTTGGGCAGCAAAAAGGGATTGGCCACCCCTGAGCTAAGCTACTTGCAGGCGGGACTGCCCAGAAACCATATTCACGTAGCTCTGAACAAATACCATAGCAATACAGTAAAGGACACTTGGAACCTTGCGGTAAGAACAAATCATTCATAAGCAAAGCTCTACTAAACCAGACCTAGGGGTTCACCTAGACAGCATCTTAAAAAGCAGAGACATCACCTTGCCAACAAAGGCCCGTATAGTTAAAGCTATGGTTTTCCCAGTAGTGATGTATGGAAGTGAGAGCTGGACCATAAAGAAGGCTGATCGCCAAAGAATTGATGCTTTTGAATTATGGTGCTGGAGGAGACTCTTGAGAGTCCCATGGACTGCAAGAAGATCAAACCTATCCATTCTTAAGGAAATCAGCCCTGAGTGCTCACTGGAAGGACAGATCCTGAAGCTGAGGCTCCAATACTTTGGCCACCTCATGAGAAGAGAAGACTCCCTGGAAAAGACCCTGATGTTGGGAAAGATGGAGGGCACAAGGAGAAGGGACGACAGAGGACGATATGGTTGGACAGTGTTCTCGAAGCTACCAGCATGAGTTTGACCAAACTGCGGGAGGCAGTGGAAGACAGGAGTGCCTGGCGTGCTCTGGTCCAGGGGGTCACGAAGAGTCGGACACGACTAAATGACTAAACAACAACAAAGGGGTTCACCAAGTCCAGTTTCTAACAATGGTCAGTCAGAAGTTTCCCAGGAAAGTTAAGAGCATGTTGGTTGGTTTGATTTTGCTAAGTGAAATGCAATATATTTGTAAAACCTCATTGATGTAGAGCAGATCCATGGCTTTAATACATTATGAAAAGGTCTCTATAAAAAAAAGGCACTGAGTGCCCACAGTCAGGATTCAACACATGTATCAGCAAACATTTCATAGCTAACACTGCAGGAAACGAACTTATTACAAAATGGAATTTATGTCAACACCAGTCACTGTTAGAAGCATCAGTCCTGAAATGCTCTGGAAACATTCGAAATATGCTTTTGCTGCTGGAGGACAGTGATAATCTACTCTTGGAAAAAGTTCGCTGTATCGTAATTGCACTCTCCCAGAGCATGTTAATATGAAAAGCCCCTCAGGACTGTAAATAATACAAGGCATATCACATTACAAATGTTTCCTATTCAGGCACAAAACACTTATTCTGTAATTT